AATCCTCAATCAGACGGGCTTTCTGAAGACCTTAAACTGACCAATTAGAATTAAAAAACAGTGAAACCATGTAAACGTCAACATATTTGTAAAAACCATAGTCCAAATAGTGTAAGATTGCTACAAAGGATTCCTTTTTCGCCAATTAATAAGGAGTATAATTTCCAGTTTCTTATCAGAGAGATACTGGTGTGTTGGTGTCTTACAGACAATGTTTGCAAACGGAATATTTTTCTCACATGTTCCAACAGTTCAATTTGGCATTAGCAACAGAATACAATATATTTATTTGCGTATTCTATTTGATGTTACAGTCGGAATGTTATTCCCTCAGTTCAATACTGCATTGGCAACAGAATAATATATGTATATTTGAACATTCTATTTCATGTCGTTTAATGTAAACCGAAATCACAAGCTCAGTGATTGGTTAAATAATATAAACTGTAGATATATGAACAGCGGTTTGATCACTTGAAAATATACCTTGGCTTCCGTGTCTTGTCTTCTGTTGTTACGCCGTTATTCATTCGAATAACTATGTTTTAAGATCAGAAGCTGGAGTTACGCTTAGATTAGGGTCAGACTTATGCTAGAATAAAGTGAACGTAGATTTAGGATTAAGAATAATTAGTTAGCGCCTAATTTAAGACTATTTACGGGAGAAATCTCTCCTTTAAATCTTGAACAGCATCAGCAGCAATTGGTTCATCCTAGGTTGACATAGAGTAGATCGCAAGAGTTGGAGAAGATGAGAGATTATAGGCAATCGTGGACCACGCAGCTGAGCTGAAGATGACGGCAGAAAATAGAACGAAATGGAGATGTGTTGATGAAGCCCTGTGTTCCATTTGGAACTGAAGAGAATTTATTATTATTATTATTGTTCCCTTGGGTTCCTAGTGGAACAAAGGGCTTCAACTACACGTCTCCACTTGTTTCTGTCTTCTGCTGTACTTTCCACCTGCATCCATGTTAGTCCATACTGTTTCAACTCCTCTTCACACGATCTCCTCCATGTCACCCTTGCACTGACGTCCCACTCGCCGCTTCCCTTTCGGGTTCCACTCGAGCACTGGCCTGACGCGCGATGTCACTGAGCGGCCTCCTCAGCGAGTGTCCAATCCATCTCCACTTTCTCCTGCATATTTGTTGGGCGATTGGTTCTTGTTTTGTTTGTTCCCATAGTTTCTTGTTGGTGATTCTTTCTGGCGGCCATCTGATCTTCAGTATAGAGCGAAGACAGTTGTTGTTGATAAAGGTGTGCAACAGGCTGTTGGAAATATTCTTTGTGACACACTGGCCAAGTTTCTGATCCGTATAGAAGAACTGACTATTGACGTTTGTATTGAAAATCCGAATTTTGTTGTTGATGCTGAGTTGAGTGACGAAGATTTCCAGATTGGTTTCAGGTTGATGAATGTGTTTCTCGCCTTCCCGATTCTCGATTTGACATCCTCGTCCGTTCCTCCTGTAGTTGAGACAATGCTCCCTAGATAAGTGAATGAAGTAACCTACTCAAGAGAATAATAATATAATAATAATAATCATTATTATTATTAATACTGAACTTGACTTTTCTCTTTTTTTTCACACAGTTTCAAAGTCATTCGTATTTGATAGCGTTTGAGGTGGTATAGTTTAACTTTACTCAATATTGATTTATAAAAGCGAAATTTATTATTACTATTACTACTATGATTCAGTAATAATTTTTAAGAAATACACATACGACTTTGTAGGTTGTCAAATGTAGGTATATTGAGAGTAGAAATAAATTAAAACGGGAAAGAAGTAGTGCATGAAGTCTATTTTATTAGAAATATTGTCCTGCAGTTATGTCATCAGTTGTAAAATGTGTAACAAGGGTAATAATTGTGTGATATCAAGTACAAAAATGATTCGCTAATTTATATTGCCTGATATGCGTATGCTTCACTTCACTACTTCACTTATATGACACATATATTGTCTAATGCGTTGTAATATTAATTGTTCTCGAATCTTCTGTAAAATACAAAACAGTAAATGCAAAGTAATTATAGTAAAGGGATTTGTGGGAGAATTGGATTAGTTAAATAATGAACAATGAGGATTTATTGGTTACAGGATTTCATCATGAGCTGACATTGGTTAGAGAACCATTGGAAAACCTGGGAGTACTGGTCTACGAGGTCGCCTTGTAACCAGAAGGTCCTGGGTTCAATTCCCGGTGGGTGCGTACTGTGAAGAGTCCCAAACTGAGACGAAACAGCTGTCCAGTACTCTCAGGTTTTCCAATGGTTCTCTAACTGATGTCAGCTCATGATGAAATCCTGTAACCAATCAGTCAAATCCCTACAAACCAATACTTGAATAATTGTTTATTTATTTATTTATTTTGATTACAGCTTGATGCCACACCGTCTTTTCAGTACAAGTATGGAATTTTCAGCATGGATATCGGTAGCCCAAATTTTGCAGGCCGACCATAGATATCGGGTGTGCGTCGGCAGGGGATCGAACCTCGGACCATGTGCATGGTCGGCGAGAGTCCTAACCACTGTGCCCCCGACGCACAATGAGGATTTAATAGATCTGAGAGATTACAATGAGTGAATATATATATATATTTGCAGCATTTACAACACCTTTAAGTCATTTGTTTCTAGCGTCTTGATGACTTCGGCCAGGTAGTCTAGGCCTATGTACGCCACTCATATCAACCATCGAAAACTTCATGGAATGATGCCATGATTTGTTCTGACCATTCTCACTTTATATCAGCTAGTATTGGTCAACGTGAAAGAGGATAGTTTGTCATGCGTAACACATGTCCTAGCTGTCTCTGCCTCTGCAGGTTGACTTAATAATTTCCCTGTTTAGCTAAATCTTTGACCTTAATAATAAACCGCCTAAGACATGATACAGAATACAAACACTTATGAACAAAGGCGACTAGCCTCTTCATCTTTTCCACTTTCAACGGCCTATTTCTGACAGCCATAAAGAAGAATGGAGTGAACTTTTGCTCAATACACTCTTTCTTCAATCGATAGCCAGGTTTTGTGTCTACGTCAAAGATGACGCCTGTTGTATGCATTCACTTTCAATCTTGAAACTGTAAGCATTTCAATTTACTAGACGTGAAATGGAATTATCAACTGAAATATGTTTCTCAAGTGAATCTTTTTATGGATTTGATTGATTTCGAGTAATATTTCATCATGAACTGACGTAAAATTCAGGGAGTAATGAACTGCTGATTAGTCCTAGTTTAGGACTCTTCAACTGTACTCATCCACGATACCAACGCTGATAGAACCCAGGACTTTTAGATTACTGGGTCAGGTCATAGAATATTTACCTAATGGGGTGGAATTGTCTTACCCCTGAACGCTAATCCCAGTCAATTCGCTATATATGTAGCGCTACTGGCAGCCAGTGTTTTCGGTGACCATGTGTACTGACATCCAATTTGCTGAGGTTGTAAGTGAGAGTCCTGAACTAGGATAAAACAATTGTCCAGTACTCTTTGGTTTTCAGCTCTTGTCTTACTGGTGTGATTTCATAATTTAACTTGAAACCCTTTCATAGCCATAGTCTAATGAAATCTCATGTAAGGGTGATTTACACAGACCTCATCACAATTAAACATCTTAAAGATATTAGAAATTTCATTGGTATTAACAAATATAAACAAAATAAAGTTCTCAAGTGTACATTAATTGTTTTATCAATTCGTCCTCAATGTTAGAACTGGTTAATCTGTTTTTCCATTCACGAAAATGGACAAAAATGGAGGCTTATTACAGTTGCCCAATTGTATAGAATTATTAAAACTGGTTGGAACAAACAAAACAATAACCAATCGCCCAACAAATATGCAGGAGAAAGTGGAGATGGATTGGAAACTCGCTGAGGAGGCCGCTGGGTGACATCGCGCGTCAGGCCATTGCTCGAGTGGAACCCGAAAGGGAAGCGGCGAGTGGGACGTCCAAGGGTGACATGGAGGAGATCGTGTGAAGAGGAGTTGAAACAGTATGGACTAACATGGATGCATGTGAAAAGTACAGCAGAAGACAGAAACAAGTGGAGACGTGTAGTTGAAGCCCTATGTTCCACTAGGAACCCAAGGGAACAATAATAATAATAACAATTAAAACTGGTTATATTCAAGATGATTTACATCCGGTGTGAATCATAGTTTATAGGATAACTGAGATGTACTGTTTGCATAGTCGCCGTCATCATATTTTATCACATGTAATCCCCTTGATGCATTATCCTTAAAGATTATCTCGCTTATTCTTGGTATAAATAAGGGTGAAATTGAAACTATCAACACTCCTAGATTAGATCATCTCGTCCAAATGCACCAAAAAAAGTGGCATTGAAGAGTCCTTTTCTGTTATCCATCGAATATCGGAAAATTGCTAAAAACCTCTACACACCAAACATTCCAAATAGTAGGGGCTGTTGTAATTCGCTTAAAACAAACGGAACTCTGTGTGCACGAGAAACAAAACCAGCCACTGTTGTTACGCTTGTCTGCTATGGAGCCCTTAAATTCAAAAATTCTCTATTGTGCTTCTTCTTCGCTTATCTGATATTTAGCTTAATGTTATGTAGATGCATATTATCAGGTGCAGACGCTTTTCAAAATGTTATCTATTGATGATGATGGGTTCGAATCCGGGTGGGTGCGTACTGATGAAGAGTCCCAAAATAGGACGAAACAGCTGTGCAGTACTCCCAGGTTTTCCAATGGTTCTCTAACTGATGTCAGCTCATGATGAAAATCCTGTAACCAATCAAATCCCTACAAACCAACACTTGAATATTGATGATATGGTTGATCCAGTGTTATACAAAACAATAATATTGTAAATATCAACCTATAACTGTAGCACCTTGATGAAAAAGTCACTGGAAAGAATATTTTTCTATTTTTGATCACATAATTTTATCCCAATCATCTGTGTCCTTCAATTTTCTATTTTTCATATCTTCATTTATAGAGATATGTAAAAGAACAGAAGTCATCCGATCAGGTACCACGCATGGTGTCGGTGATGGCGTCCAAGATGGAACAACAGATTCATTATGTCGTGTTAATAATAATTTCAAGATACTACATACTTCTACATATAATTCAATTGGTCAACCACAACGTACTAAAACTCCAGTATCATCGTGTTGTAGTAATAATGAACAAAAGCCTGAACAAAAAAACAGTTCATCATCATTATTATTGTCATCGTCATTATCATCATCGTTTATGAAAGATAGAAGAGCAATATCGAAAGCAGCAGATGAAAAACGTTGTGCTATAAAACAAGCTCATCTGTTAGCTTCTGAAGAAGCAGTCATTCTAGCTAGACATAAAGCATCTGAGCGTAGAGAGGCTAAATTAATGGAAATACGTCAACGTTTAAAAGTTAGACATGAACAAGTTGAAGCAAGGAGGAGAGCTATTGAAATGGCTGAACAGGTGAGATAAGCATTATTAACATTTCAATTCTATCAGGAGTTTTCTAACTCTCTAATTATGATAAATAATTACATTATAAAAAATTTACCGCAGACAC